GAAATATATATCTGCAACATGGTCATGGAGAACCATAAGCTTCTTTGCTGTATTACTGTCCACCTCTCCTCGCTCATATCTCTAATCCCTACAGATGGAAAGCTGATATTGCTCTGTGACAGACTCAATCCTATTAACTCTGTCTGTCCTATATTCACCTCTCCTCCGTCTCACACTCCTCGCTCCCCTGGAAATTTGACCCAGGGCCCCTCTCCAAAACACTAGAAGGAGGAACACTTGGATTTAAGTCTAGACGAAAGATTAGGAGAGTTGGCACACTTATGGTATCACATTTTTCTTGTCTGGTGAACTACTTTTTCTGAGGCACTGTTTTGTGACAGCGAGCCGTCACTCATAAGAAGCTGTGTTCTTATTTCTGAACCATCCTGACATTTCCATCTGTCATCGGTCCTGCCATTCTCCCCAGCTTCAGAAAATATAAAAATGTTTAAGATTTTCTTTTTACTCTCCTTCCTCGGATCTGATGCACCTTTATCACCTGTTTCCCAAGTTTTCACAGTGACGTTAAGGAGCTTGGATCTGCAACAAGGCAATAACCCACCCAAAAAAACAGCCAAAAAGGTTTCACCACCATCCTTGAGCAGACCATCATATACAGACAGTATTAACCAAAGCCACCAAAGCAACTATAACCATGAACCAACAACCAGTTGTGTCCTTAAACGCCTCAGGAGGAGCTCTTCTTATGAACCTCGCACCTGTGGGGTTTGGGCACCGACAGCTCCTCCAGCTGTCCTCCAGGAGAAGGGAGGAGGAGGCATATTTCGTCGACTACATACCACCGGCGAGAGATGCTATAACTCTGCCGCGCAACGTAGTCTATGTCCTAGTAGGGGTGGTGTTGGTTATACTGGCCACTTACGCCATAGTGGGACATCTGATTAAAGATCTGATGCATGACCTAGCAGGTAACCCCTGGCTGGTGTCGTCTCCTTCCCGTCGTTGTCTCCACTCCAGTGTCTTTGAGTCCTTTTTCCTCCCTGAACTCATGGGCCAAGACTGCATCACTGTCTTTCCCTTTTTTCCCCTTGTGGGTGACCGTGTTATCTGATGACTCTCCTTTACTTTTACCCTGAGGTTTGTGTGCACAGGTCAACCTTCTCCACAGTTTCCTTTGTTGTACCATTAAAGGAAAGTGTCACCCTCCAAATGACCATTTGTATGTCAGTTACTCACCCCTTGTAACATTGAATTCGTGAAGAAAACTTAGATTTTCTCACATGCATCCACAAAGAACAAAGAATTCAAATACGGAGAAAATTCTACATGAATAGAAGTCAAAGAGGTTTGGATGTAACAACAGAAAAACTATACCAAAACTTTCATTTACAAACTCTTCGACAACTTTTGCAGTATAATCCAAGTCTCATATTTATCCAGTCGTATGATCAGCACTTCCCAAATACATGCATTTTCGCTATAATGTTACTATTTACAACACTTAGGCACAAACAGTCTCACACAGGGACAAGTAATAATAAACTTTATTTATATAGCACCTTTCAAAACACAGTTACAAAGTGCTGTACAATAAAACTAAAAACAATTAAAACACAAGAAGAATAAAACAAATACAATGTCATAAAATGTTATCTAGTAAAAGATGAAATAAGGAAGGCCAAAGTTAAAATCAAGATAAGAAATGGTCATTAAAATCAGTAAGATAGCAATAAAATAGACAGACAGCTCAGATAAAGTCGGGATATGCTTTCCGACTCAGACAACTTTATAGTAGCACGCCTGCGCTGTTTATGCGGAAGTATTTTAGCGAATAAGGTTTTAGCGAGTAAGGTTTTAGCGCAAATGCATGTGTTTGGGAAGTACTGAGCAAACGACTGGATAAATGAGACTTACTTAATGAGATTATACTACACGAGTCATGTGAGAGTTTGTAAACGGATTTTTTGATGTAGTTTTGCTGTTGTTAAATGTGGACCCCTATGACTTCAATTCATCAAGAATTCCCCCAGTTTTTGGATTCTTCGCTCACTGCGAGGCGTGCAAGAAAAACAATGTTTTCTTCATGAATTCAAGGTAACATGTAGTGAGTAACTGATATACAAATAGTCATTTGGGTGGGGTGAAGTTTGCCTTTAAGATAATTTCCAAGAAATAATTAAAATCTGAGTGAATGACTGCTGCTAAAGTAACACTTTAAAGGGGCACTCTTGCCATTTTCTACTGCACTTACACAAAGTTAGGAGGTCAAGATATCCAGAAACACTGAATCTTTTATATAATGCAACTCACTGAATTTGAAGACACAATTTATGACATCATCAGGGTAACTGGAGTGCTCCCTTCAGAGCAACAGATAATTGTATAACTTCTTCACAGGCTCCATGAGGAGTAATCTGAACTTCATATGTACAGTTTGTGGAATGCCCCTTTAAAAGACACTCAGAAATCACAGAAAATCATTTCATTCTCACAAGTTTTTTTTTTTTTTCCTCTCTGCTCTATTTCACCTCACAGACTGGATTCTTGGCCCCAAACCAGTGGAGGATGATTCAGAGGAAGGGAGAGCAGAAATAGAAGAAGAGCGGCGGCTGAGCATTTGCAGTAAGCTGATGGAGAAAGACATGCTGATGATGGAGAAGGAAAAGGACAGCCTGCTACCCGGTTTCTACTGGTTAGACGGAGGCTGCCACCGCCCATCTACCCCTCCTCCTCCTCTGAAAAGCGCCATGGCTTCATCATACCCTGGAGAAAAAAGGATATCTACTCATAGTGTGACCTTCGCCAGCCCCGTGACCCCTTACGCCACTTCCCTTTGAGTTTTCACTTTGTCACAGCAGTGGTTCAGATCAGTTTTTGTCACGTCATATCTCAGTGTTGTCTCAGTGTCTCAGTGTCAGTGCTGTAGTGACGCGTAAGCTAAAGCATTTTTTTTGTTTTATATAAAACATGTTGTTATAGTTTGTACTCATTTTGCTAAGATTACTTATTAAAGATGGATGTAAACATGGCTTTTATTGTCAGTCATTCCAAATACAGTGCTCTATATTGTTGTAGGCTGCAAAGAATGTAAATTATGAACCATGTAAACTTCAAAGCTGTAGAAATACACATTTTATTTCAATTGCTGACATATAAATCCAAAGACTGTATAACTTGAAATCACTTTCCAATTAAAATGTTAACTTTCCTGAAGCAAGTTTAGTAAAACTACAGATGAATTGCAGTTTCTATGCATTTTTTTTCACCAACCAGTCAAACTGTCCTGTTCTGGTGTTGGACCAAGCTTCTCTCCAGTAAACAACTGAATAATACAAGAGTGCTGTCGTGTCTTATCTGTGTCCTTTAATCCATCTTACCTTCCTCTAATACCTGGATATACCTGGGCCAATGACCTTATTTGTCAATGCTGAGGATTACTGTACATTAGCCATATTAAATACTGTTTGATAATGTCATCAGCAGAAATTGATAGATAGATAGACAGACAGACAGACAGACAGACAGACAGATAGATTTGAATGTCTTCCTTTGCATCAGGTAAATTCTCTCTGCCTCATTAGCAAACTGCTCGCAGCATCATTCCTCTGACCTTGAGTACCTCAAGCTGCTGCAGCTAATCTAGTTTCCACCTGCGTAGCTCCACAGGCGGACAGAGAGGGAGTTTGAACATGGAGCCCAAATAAAGAACTTGTCAGGGTGAGAGATATAGTTGTACTTTTAATTTAAGTCTTACTTGCTCAGTGTGGCCAGGAGTGTGAAGACGCCTGGTGAATTGAAGGACCGCTGCCTGCTTCTTGGCTGTATGTAGAAGTTTTTTCATTCACATTGTGGCTGTTGAACTTTTGTTGGAAGCATATTTATTGTGTTACATTATGAAACAATGTGGTTGTAGCTGCAGAAATATATATTTGATTTTAAAGTTTGAGAGTTTCCTTCTGATCTCTTTGTGATTTGCATACAAAGATGTGAAAGATGAAACCTTTGTGCCGCCTCATTTCGATACAGCGATGACTCTGAGATATTAAGTGGATTCCCAGGCTGACAGCAGCTTTGAAGACTCTCAGACAGCAATGGAGGTGGCGGAGGACAGCTTACATGTTCGTTTCAAGGAAGACGATGGGACGGTGTTGTTTGAGAGCTACATACCCCCATCTCGGGATGCTGTCCACCTGCCTACCTATGTCCTTTACCTGATCATGGCGGTCTTTGTCGTGTTGGGTGTTCTCTACGCCATCATCGGTCACCTCATCAAGGACCTCATCCATGACTTTGCAGGTTTGTTACCAGACTGCATCCATAATTATGTTTTCATTGGTGTCTAATCACCTGAAACTAAGAACTGATGTGTTTTTGTTGGTTAAGAATGAGCCCTTTATAGCTACATTGGGAGTGGATCCTCTGTACAGATGTAAAGAGATGTGGATACAGTGTTCGAGGCAGGGCCCTGCTCATTCCTATAAAAATTGCTTAGGTTTGTATGAAACTAAGAAAAAATTTGACTTCACAGGTATAAATTTACCCAGATATCCCATATCTTAGGGCCCATAGAGCAACAGCACTAGCGGCTAACTTCAGGTTTAGCACTCCGCTAACTTTTATGGGGATAAAATTATTGAATTTTCCAGCTCTTCTAGACTTTCAAATGTTATCGGACCAAATGGATCAAATCCTGATAGTAAAACAAGTCATTTCACAGCAGTTGTGACGCTCAAAAAAGGTATCCACTGATTTACAGGCATATCTTTCACAATGTGAGTCTATGGGAAAGTCATTTTGGGCCACATGGCATCATGTGACGGACCTGAAAGTTTTAATTCCATGTTTTTGTCAACATATGTCAAATTGAGCCCACGATGTTGCACCGCCATTTCTACAGCAGGCCTAGTCTCGCTCACCAGAATCTCAAGAAAAGAAAGGTCTGGCTGGGCCGACTCTCACTTTGAGATTGGAGAAAAAAAAACGCCCGGCTGCTTGTATTTCTTTCAACCAATCACAATTGTTCTTGGCGGTGCCACAGCAACGGTGCGCTTGCAAAAATATTGCCGGAGGGAAACAGGTTTTGGTGTAACATGCCCACAAAAATATCACCTACAGGACGCGAACCATGGCAGAAAAATGGCTACATCCCCGCAAGATCAAACACCGCAATAGTTAGTAAAGGACGTGTTGAAAACTGCAACCGGAGGTGGTAGGGCGGGACTTCAGCTGGCTCGTTCCGCCCAATGAGAGGCTGATCTATGTAGCGAACTTCCGCCCACTCAGACTACAGCAGGCCCAAATGGACAAATGATACACTGGCTGTAGAGAAACCCTTTTGCCTTTTTACATTACCTGAAGGCCACCGTAGGTTTCCCTACATGCTTTGAAAGATGGGTGAGGGCTAGTGTATTCATTTGTTTGATATTTGCAACCTCATCTCTAGATGTCACTAAATCATAAAACTGCTCCTTTAAAACAGAAGTGTGTGTCTCCACTATTAAATGTCATCACGCATAGCTTTTCTTTTATATCCACTCTGTTCCCTCTCTTTCTGTTTTCCAGATTGGGTGTTAGGGGAGCAACCTGAGGAGGTGGTGGTGAATTACTGTGAGGCCAAGGATAAGTTCATGGCAGACTGGTGCCCAGAAACCTCCCCTGAACTCGAGGCGATGGCCCGGGCTGAGGAGAATAAGGTGATTGACAGGGACTTCATGAAGGCCCCCGCCATCTGGGTCATCTCTGAACCTCGGGGGAGCAAGTCGGGACCCCGTGTGGTCTTTGAGAGGAGGTCTTAGGAGAAAGAAGATGACATCAGATTGTAGACTTGATGTTGATGAAGATCATCTGAACTGACATGACTGAGAGGTGAAGTGAGTGGCTGTAATGAAGCATTACTGTGTACAGCTGAAGATGTGCTGCCATATTGTGGACACAGGAGGGGATCTCTTGCTGGCAGTGCCCAATGCTTGGGTGCACAGTTGTCCTATGAGGACACCTAGTGTCTCTTGAGGTCATTGCAGCTGATGGTGACGTCAGCACAAGTTTGTCTGAGATCAAAATGGAACTAAAAAACTAAAATATGCCTTAAGAGATTACTTAAAAAGCTTAAGATACTATTTTTCTGGGATGATCGAAGACAGAAAATGTAAATATTTGTGTCTCTGTAGTGCATCTATTAGAGGTGTCAATCTAAAGTCAAGTGTATCAAGAGTACATGTTAAATGACATGCAGAGTAGAATAATTTTAATAAACACAAGTGGAATATAACATCTTTGGGTCATTTTTGAATGTTAAATTTCCTTGTTACCAGTGTATTCATTTATATTAAAGCTCTATGTACTCAGAAGTGAGGTGGTAGTCCGTGTATCTAGAGTTATATAAACAAGGAAAACTATAACTGTCCACTAACAATAGTGAGTTTCAGATAGCCATGACATTAAAATATGACATTGCAACAGTATGTAAAAAGATACAACAGTTACATTAAAAATAAAAAATAAACAATCAAAAATACCACTAATAATAAATCAATAATATACAATATACCAAATACAGAAATTATGGCATGTGAAATGAAAAACATAGGATGATTTATATCAAATTTATGACACACAAAAATGTGAACAACCTCCATCTTGTGTTAAAAAGTAAACCCAAGCACCTCTGAACAATTCTGGCATTAAAATGGTCTGCAACCAGAGTACTTTAGCTGACATAACAAAGAACACATATTTCTGCTCAGATTCAGAGGCACCATCACCATGACAAATATTTTATTCTGACCTTAACCACGCTAACACAACTCTTAAAGGGTCAGTTCATCCAAATAAAAAAGGGCATATTTTCTAATTTACACCTATATTCAAAAATGTCTGAATATACCTATATATAGATACAATATGAGAGTTAACTTATAGTTTGTTCTCCACCTTTAATTATTGCATAAGCAGGAATCAGCAAGTTCAGTAATTACCTGCACTCACAAAGGTCAAAGCTTGGGTTGAACTTACAGCACTAACACACATAAGGTGAAGTCTACCACAGCTCCAGGAGAGGGCGCCATGGTAAAAAATATCCCCATAGGCTATATACCACCACACCTATACTGTCCAGTCAGCACATGGAAAAAGTTATTCTTCTAACAGAGGTCTTTTCATTTCAAGCCAAACTGTGATTTTTTTCCCTAAACCTAACCAAGAAAGGACTTCCTGACAGAGCGCCCTGAAGGCAAATTTCTTGGACCAGCACATAGGGCCTACTGTCAAAGAAGGCTGATGTGAATGTGATGGTTTCAGAGGAGACAAGAAACCAGGCTTCCAATAAAGAAAGAAATGTGAAGCAGAACCTCTTTGCTCTGATATTTTTGTACTTTTATTAGCTCACAGTAATGATTTTTCCTCCTTCAGGCACATGTGTGCTGCCTCATGCCCGGCTGAGGACTCACTCTCACTCATTTCCAGGGGAAATTACACTCTGGTTCTGTTGCCTTTAAAGGGACAGTTCACCCCAAATCAAAAACACATATTTTTCCTCTTACCTGTAGTGCTGCTTATCAGTCTAGGTTGTTTTGGTGTGGGTTGTAGAGTGTTGTAGGCTGTAGAGATGTCTGCTCTCTCTGGAATATAATGGAATTAAATGGCACTGTAACCAGCTCATGATTTCTGGAAAGAAATATTGCTGTTTAGTTTTTCAAATGTATTTTATTGCACTTTGAGCACCACATTATACTGGAGAGAAGGCAGACATCTCGTTGGCTGATACCTCCAACACCAAAACAATCTAGACTGATAAATAGCACCACAGGTAATGAGGGTGAGGGTGGGGTGAACTGTCCCTCTAACTAGACATACCAAAGCTGTGTCCCTCTTCACATACTCATCCTGTTACTGACTGCTAAAGCAAACAATGACATAATCTCATTAACTCTGTTCCCCCCAATCCCCTACTCTCTCTGAGCAGAACCCCAGAGTCAGTTTGCAAATAGATAAGACAATCAGCAGTCAATGCAGCCTGGTATAAATAAAGCCTGAGTGGGATCTCACAGAACTTTACGGTGTCTAGATGAATGTTTTCACTGGGGAAAGGATAAACTAACTGTTAATGTTTGGTTTCAGTAAAATGCATTCTTAAAACATGAGTGGAGTCCTTTTGTTTTTGGGAAAAAAATCAAGTCCAGACAACAATTTTGAAAGATGTAGAAAAGCAAAGTTAGTGTTGAAACACGTTTCCAAGCTTGTTGCAATAATTTTGTGAAGTATGTAGAGGAGAGATCATGCCACGGGATTTAAATGTTCTGCAACCTTACAAGGCTTTTCTGTTTGCAAGTAG